CCCCCCCCCCCCCGCTCCGCCACCGCCCCCTTGCTACGGTACTGCACTCTACGCGATTTCTGGGAAATATTAATTCATTGACTTATGAAATCTCAACTACACAACGAAAAAATATGACTTGAGCGTTAATTCCATGACATCGGTTCACACCTTATCTGTTTGCTTCCTAATGGTACATTTGTGTTCTTCTTGTAGTGTTAACAACCATCACCCCGCGTACGTAGGCCTAAGTTTGTAAGATGCTTCATCGGTGAGGTAATCCTATGAAAAGTACCTTTCTCAACACGGAGAATGACAACTGCACATTCAACTCTCACGCTAAGGCCGTACTCTAAACGTTTCCTGTTTTCCGCGGAACAGGATGACGAACCCTAGAGCGTATTAAGGTCGGCATACATTAAGGGACATGTCGCGGGGACGTCAAGCTAGAAGAAGCCCCTTAATGTGTACGCATAGGACGCACTTGCCGGGACAGTACGCCAGTTGGTGCACACGAAGCGGATATTGGTTCATTTCTATATTGTAGTAGGTGCAGTTTGCAAGAGCAGCACACTCGATGCGACATTGAAAATTGAGGTCATTTTGTCCCTGCTTCACGAATTCAAACCAGCTGAATTTCATGCAAGATGTTGTGGAGGAAAAATTTTGCCCTCACAACTTAAAGTTTTCGCAAAAACGGGCATGTCACACGAGGAAAACTATCGCTCCACATGTCCCCGGATCATGTCCCCTTAACATGCCCCCAGAGTGCACCGGCCCTTAATGTCGTTTGTTGCTTGTTGATGTGAAGTTCCAGAGTGAAAGCTGCTCGAGTGAAACGCTAACTTTCAAGAACTTATCGTGTACTAAACTCATTCCGGGTCCTCACCTCTCCTGGTGGTGTTTGTCCAAAAGCCTCATCTACTACGTCAGCGGGAACGGACATGACGTCATCCTCTGTCAGGTGACCATCCTGGTCTTTATCAAGCAACAGAAACCGCTGTACAATACAAAATGAACCTGAACTCAGACAAACCAATACACCATTTCTGAGTTTCCTTTTCTTGACACAGAGTCAAAAGGAAACACGGAAATGGTCTACCTTACTTGCAAAACATTTCGGACATAAAAATTTCGGACGTTTAATTTGCGGTCCCTTTTATCTCATTTCGGACAAATTTCGGACAAAAATTTCGGACCCTCTCCTGAAACATTTAAGTTAATATTACTCCAAGAAAACACGAATTAGACTAAAACAGCATCTACGAAAATGATAGTTTTACTGCACCCTCAAGGTTTGACAGAAACACCGACGAAAAAATAACACACATTCTATCAAACCATTACCTGTCTTAAGGTTACAGTATACCTTCAGGGGTGTCTCGCGCGCAAGCGATGTAGCGCGTGCAGTTTAAGCTGNATCTTCAGACCTCCTGCCAGAAAATAACTTAAGGTCAGGATTTAGACTTAGCTAAGGTCCTTGTGTGGCATCCTTGGTTTGCAACACCTCTCTTCACCCAGAGCTGGATAGGAATTAACAAACATGAAGCCTGCATTCGAGGCCATGGCATATCAGGCTGGTACTCATCCTTGTCCCATATATAATGGACAGGGTTGCTTGTTGTACCCTTTAGGGCTGTTAAAAAGTGGGTTTTTGTGTGGGATGCCTGTGGTATCCCACACTATTGTCGTTGGCTCATGCCTATTAATGGAAATGAGTTTGTATCCCACACATGTACCCTTTGGGTACCTATGTTTTTTTTGTTTTCTGGTTTTTTTCTATCCCTTGTTTCCATAGCATGAAGTGATTAGATCCCTTTTCCCCCAAATGAGACGCTAGTGTTTTGAGCAATAACTAAATAAATGTTAGTATTAATATCATGGGTGACAAACTACATGTACTCCTAAATTTTGGCATGAAATTTCAACATTAATTTATAATTTCACAAGCAAAATTACAAAATTGCCATGGCAATGTTTGGCCGTGAAATTGTAATTATTATAAGTAATTTGTCACCTATGATATTCCAAGGTAATCAAATGGTATATCGGTACTCATGAAATTAGAGAATAATCTCACTGGCTTAAATTTTTCAAAATATTTCTATATTTCACTCGTCAACATCTGTTTACAAACATCACAGGCATCAAAACCATGCAAAGAGCTATGTAGCCTTCTCAAACTCATTACTAATTCATCAAGTTTAAACAAAGGAAATCATGACCGTGATGGTGCTTGGATATCTGATCCTAATTAGTATCGATTTTTATGATTCTATTTCTCCATTTGAGAAGATATATCAAACACTCAAGACAGTGTTTGACCACATTTCCAAACACCTCCAAATTTGTCAAAAATACTCTGCTGTGTGTCGTATTTTCAACTCTCTTCCCAGTGTTTGGAAATTTGGTCAAACACAGTCTTTCATGTTTGATATATTATGTAACTGTAAGCTACGTTTATCATGTTATTCACCTGTTTTCATAATTTCTTACAAGACTCACCCATAAGGTATGAACATACAGTCGCCAGGCTCTAGGCGAGCAGACCACCATGGAAGATTTTGTAGACTTGGATATCGGTACATATCAACTTTATCAACATTGGCACTGCAATAGTCACCCTCTCCATGATCCATGTCAATCAACTTGCTGTGTTCCTACAATAATATTATTTATATACATTAGTCAAGCTCATGTTTGGCAATAAAACCTAATAATGACAGTCATTGAAATGTAACTTGTGCACAATGTGATAACCCCATCAAGCACATCAATTATTCTGGTGAAAACTTGCAATATTTGACATCAATAATTGAAAAATAAAATGAATTATTCAATAATTGAATAATATTTTTCACATTTTGTTGTTCCAGAAATATTCATACAGGCCCTCCCACAGAAGGCTTTTTAGTTTGAAACCCCACCCTACTAGAAATTCCAGTTTAGTTTCATACTTTCCTTTTAAAAATTGCCCTTTGATACCCCCTCCCCCTTGAAATTTATGTTTTCAACCTTCATTGGGGTGGGTATGGATAGTTCCTGGAACAGCACATTGCAATAAGTATTAAACATTATTTATTTACCAGGTCCACTATAAACCACTCCTTGACTCCACTGATCATACAGTTAATATTGTCCACAGTATCCATGTGAAGAAAAGATTTGGATCCTCCACTACTAAACCACATCACTGTATCCTTGAACCAGAAAACACAGGCATGAGTTACCGAACTAGCAGATAGGGGTCTGCAGGGGAGCCATGCAATGACCTGGTATACCCCTCCCTCCTGAGTCTAATTCTTTTTCAGTTGATTTACACTTTATAAGTTATAACCAAGAATGCAGATTTTCTTAAGGAAACAAGTGCAAAGTCCTTATGGTGTTTTGTGTTTGATACATGTACAGGTACAACGTGTTTTGGGTGATTTGAAAGTTGACATACAATTAGATTCTTTTTTCTTTTTTGCTTAACGATGGGAGGGGAAGGGTGAATTCACTGCATTTACACTAGATAGCTCATTACAGCTTCAATGGCATGTCCCCATCTTTTATTGCCAAGTGTGCAACCCCTTCCCCTCAGAGGGGNGATAACCCCATCAAGCACATCAATTATTCTGGTGAAAACTTGCAATATTTGACATCAATAATTGAAAAATAAAATGAATTATTCAATAATTGAATAATATTTTTCACATTTTGTTGTTCCAGAAATATTCATACAGGCCCTCCCACAGAAGGCTTTTTAGTTTGAAACCCCACCCTACTAGAAATTCCAGTTTAGTTTCATACTTTCCTTTTAAAAATTGCCCTTTGATACCCCCTCCCCCTTGAAATTTATGTTTTCAACCTTCATTGGGGTGGGTATGGATAGTTCCTGGAACAGCACATTGCAATAAGTATTAAACATTATTTATTTACCAGGTCCACTATAAACCACTCCTTGACTCCACTGATCATACAGTTAATATTGTCCACAGTATCCATGTGAAGAAAAGATTTGGATCCTCCACTACTAAACCACATCACTGTATCCTTGAACCAGAAAACACAGGCATGAGTCACCAAACTAGCAGATAGGGGTCTGCAGGGGAGCCATGCAATGACCTGGTATACCCCTCCCTCCTAAGTCTAATTCTTTTTCAGTTGATTTACACTTTATAAGTTATAACCAAGAATGCAGATTTTCTTAAGGAAGCAAGTGTGGAAACAAGTCCTTATGGTGTTTTGTGTTTGATACATGTACAGGTACAACATGTTTTGGGTGATTTGAAAGTTGACATACAATTAGATTCTTTTTTCTTTTTTGCTTGAGGGTGGGAGGGGAAGGGTGAATTCACTGCATTTACACTAGATAACTCATTACAGCTTCAATGGCATGTCCCCATCTTTTATTGCCAAGTGTGCAACCCCTTCCCCTCAGAGGGGAGAGGGAGAGGGGGCAGGGGGGCAGGAGAGAAGAAATGCCAAGAAAGAGCAAATTTTACTTCTAGTACTGTAAACTGCTGCTTATATATAAGCCCTGGGCTTATACAACTTTGTAAGGGCTTTTACATGGGCTTAAAAACGGATGGGCTCATATCTGAGGGGGCTTATAACTGGAATAAAAAAAACCATTCTGAAACGAGCTATAGCTGCACATGTTGATCAAAATAGACTTTTCATTTACTGGTAACTGAGCTTTAAAATATCATAATAAAACAAATTCAAAACAAGGAAAGCAAGAGGGGGGCTTATATTCTAGGGTGCTCATAACTAGATGTAATTTTTGGTTCACACGACAGGTAGACAGGCCTACAACCAGGGGGGGTCTTATAAGCGGCAGTTTATGGTATGCCAACAAGGTCTGGCATCACTTCTTACCTGTAGTCTGGATGTAAATCCTCCACACAACAGACAAGTTGGTAGGGAAAACTCATGCCACATTTCTTGAGGTAAAGTATCCACTAAGTATCTGTCTGAATCATTATAGATTGTCAAGAATTCTGCGAGGGTTAAGTCATCAGCAGGTCTAGCCCTGTTCTCTTTTTTACCATAATCCACTCTTACTGTAACATCTCCATAATTTTCCCTGAAGAAAGAAATATCATGTGGTTGAGATGACACATTTGTAATATGAATCTAGTTTCATTTCATTTTACCAAATTATACCAGAAGCGCCTAATTTTCAGACAAAGTTTGACAAAGTCCTTTTATTCATAGTTTGCCTGCTCTCTTTTCACGAAATTTTAGTCTTCATTCCAGTCTTTAAAAACATAATAAGGTACCTCTCACACTTAAATTGCCATTGTAAAAAAAACTTGCTTGTTACTTTCTCGTGAAATTCCATTCTTAAGCTAAGCTGCAATTCAGGCATTCACAGTTTTAAAAAATTATTATATATTTATTATTTGTTTCCTTTTCTTTTTTTTTTTTTTCCTTTTTGTATTTTGATTTTTGGCCTTGAACTCTGAGCGGTGAACATCTGCCTTTTATGTTACAATATAAGCTTGCCATTCAACATTTACTAGTCGATGTACAGCTGGGTAAAATTATTCAATCTGTGTTCACCAGTTATTCAAATAGCTTTCATGGTTGGTACTACGTCATTAAATAACTAAACTGCCATTATTTAAAATAATTAAAAATATGTATTTAGCTAGAGTTTTTTGGTTTCTTTTTTTCTTTTTTTTTTCTTGTGTATTTTAGTAGATGATATGCACATAAGATATCTGATGTTTGCTCTGATCATGTTTTGTTCATTGATCCTCAAAAGAAATAAAAATCAGATCGGTGTTTATATACAAGTTAATACTTAACTTTTTTAATTTAATTTTATGAAGTCAGGATTTTTACTATGGTACGAGATCAATCTCTGCTACTGTGGCCAATATTTAAACTCCTCTTCTTAGAACCCTACTGTGAAAATCCTGACGTGACTCCATAAGGGATAAGTTTAAATATTTATATTTTAAATTTTAACAACTGGCAAACATAGTCACGACAAAACAAACTTCATGTGGCACAAAATAATAATAAACAAACATTAATACTTTACCGTATATAATTGTCCGTCCAGAGATTAAAACCAGGAGATAATTTAGCGGCTCCTTTGAAAATAACTGGTTGATTGCTCATAACATAGTCCTTAAAGAAGACTTGAGGGCTTGGCAAAAAACCTATTGCCTTTATCGCGCCCTCCGCCGGTCTGTGTGAACCAAGCCGCTTGAGATGGCCCGCTGGGACTTTCTCCTGTTTACAGAAAGGAAAAAATCCGCTAAGACTAACAAAATATAACAAGAAGATTCTGAACATCGTACTCCTGTGCTACTCCAGACTGCATGAATTATTTATTTCACTGAACTTGGTTATGACAAGGTGAATCATGTTTTCTTTGTTCGTCTGGATGAATATGTCAAATTGTGCCAGGCACATAATTTTCGGTACCGAAATGCATTATGGGAATTTCAACATGGCGGACGGAACGCGCTGTGAAAGAACATTTTAAAGAGACCTGATAAGGTCGATAATGCAAAGCAAAATAGGAGTATTTCATAATCCTTTCACCCTTGCTTGCCTTATATACAAGTCTAGGTGTTGTTTTAATTCGATTGCTTGAAAAACTGATAATGACAGATGATATTTCGCCCCAAGACGCCAACTGTGAACTCCGCGCCTTTGAAGCTGAAGAAGACTTGCTGTCTGAAGTTCAGACGAAAAACACGGATGAAGGAGCAAGTCGAATGACAATTCACAAAAATGAAGATGTAGACTTTCTTCCTGCAGGAAGAATTATAACTGAAGAGGATAAGGAAGTTGATCAGTCGACCAGTTTGCCAAAAATCGAGGAAGAATCCTCGAGCTCGGATCAGGAACCGAAACCAGAGCCTGAACTTCTTTTAAAATCGTCTGAGAAAGGAATAATCGATCATGTAGTGTCGATTTTAGACATAGAACCTTCACTTGTGAACTGCAGAGACAGTGATGGCTACACGCCGCTTCATAGAGCGTCTTATAACGGGCGTATGAACGTGGTAAGAGTTCTGTTACAAAGAGGAGCTGATGTGGATGCGAGAACAGAAGATGGATGGCAACCTTTGCACTGCGCATGCAGATGGGGTGAATATAGTGCACTTATTATAGATGTGAAGCTTGGGAGGGGCTGACATGGGTGAGAGGATTTCATGGAACTCTTCACGGAGAAACAACGGGTGAAAAAAAAACGTTAGCGAGGTGCCAATGAAGCCTTATTAAATTAACACACAAAAACCACGCATGTGAAAAAATTTAGTTGCCAAATTATCATAACTTCCCAAATCTTATCAAAAAGCATAGAGCCTGGATCGCAGTGGGTCCCATGTGTTGAGACTCTGGATCAAACGGTCTTAGAGTTTAAGGGCTGGTTAATGGTTAGAGTCACAGAGTTAGGTTGTAAGGAAATAAGCTTGGAGTATTTTTCGTCACCCAGAGGTGTTACACTGTTAGGGCAACATAGGAAAATGCCCAGGGAATCCTGCATTGAACTAGCATCCCACCAGAGAGAGTATCAAAATGTACTCCTCGTAACTTTATGGTACAGAAACAAGAATTTAGCACTGTTGCCGATGAGCCATCTAACTCCACCTTTCATCCGTAGAAATGGAATGTAAAAGACTGCTTAGTAATTACAGGGCCCCAGGGCTCAGTTGCATATTTCACCTCGGGGCTCCAAGTAAACATAATCAACACTTTTGTTTGGACCTCATGAAAGGAAAAGGCTTGGGCTCCAGGCCTGGGGGGGGGGGGGGGACTCTCAAATAAAAAAGACAAGGGGTCAGAAATTTTGAAAAGAACTCCTAAGAGGTACCAAGATCCTATTTTGTGGGTGTGGCTTAACTTTTTTTTCTTCCCTAAGAGGTACTAATTCTTACATGATACATTATCTCTTGTCAATGTTTTCGGCTCAATATCCTAAAAGGTATTGCAAAAGCTACCACTCTGGACCTTTTGAGGCTAAGTACCCTAAGAGGTACCAAAACAGTGTTTTTTTTTGTTTTTTCTTATTCCTGATAAGTACGACAAGCACCACCGTCATTGTTATATGGGACTCCTTCCCCAGGGCTCCAGGCTGTTAAGAATATCGTTATAGGTCTTCTAGCTCTCGAGTCTCAGAATCTTTTCCTGTAGCACCCTATAAAGTGAAAACCCCAAAAGAGTTACCCGCAGAAATTATTTGTTTCCCTGAAAATGCTGTGATAACCCATTTGCCCCTTCCCGTTTCTTGTCTTAATTGTTGAGTTCCCTCAGGGAGAGAATAAAATGAACTATAACCAAGAATTAGAATTTATATCTGTGGCGAAGAGTTCTAATGGCCACCAGCAAATATTGTTAGGGCAACCTGACAATTTTTCAAGGGTAACCTGCAACAGACTAATGTCCTCTGCAAGGGAACTAGTGGTACCTGCACTCATTCCATGCTACAGGAATCAGGGAATGCTCTGTCAGTGTGGGATACTTTGACCCAAGCATTGAACTCATTGTATATGTATGGCCTTTTAACAAATTAAAAGGGTTAATTTAGCATGACAAGGTCCACAGCAGGAGCTTTTGTTGTACCTTTTAGGGTATTGGGCCAAAAGAAAATATGACAAGCGATAATGTGTTGTTTTAGAATTGGTACCTCTTAGGGGTGAAAAAAATTTCAAGCCACATCCACAAAACTAGATCTTGGTACCTCTTTTTAAAATACCTGACAAGTACCCCTGTTCTTTTTATATGGGAGTCTCCACACCGGGCGGCGGCACACAAGGCTTTTAAAACAGTGAGAGNGTTACATATCACTCAGAGGAGCCCTCTATTATTTGATCCTCTGTACGACCATCAAGTACAAAATTTAAAATACAAATAATTTGACTGGCTAATCCAACCCCCTATCGTGAGAAGAAGATCTGTAAAACACTTTCTAGTGTAAGACCTGGGGAAATTAGGTAGCTGGAAACTTCACTGACTGACCTAATCGTGCCTTGCTTTGTCTATTTTGTAGGAAAGACCAACGTTGCATCTCTGCTGTTACAAAATGGTGCTGATATCAATGCACAGACCAATGGCAAGCAAACACCTCTCCATTTTGCCGCCAGTGGAGTCGCTGGAACAACAACTTTACAGCTTTTGCTTTGCAATAGATGGCTGGATTCTAAATTACGTAACATGCAGGATGAAACTGCATACGACATTGCAAAGCGGAGTGGCAAACACCATGAACTGTTTGAAATGGTTGAAGATAGCATCAATGTTAAATAAAGCAACCAGATAAATCTAATTTATGGAAAATAAAATTTATTTATGATAGAACCAAATGTGTTATTTCTGAAAATAATGATGATGGCAATGTTCTCATTTCCTTGGCCAGTCAGAGTTCTCTCCCCTCACTTAGCTTTGCGACATGTTTTTCTTTAAAAACTTGTGCTTTTCAAGAACACCCCTTGCCCCCTCCCCCGCCATGCTCCTCAGATACCCCTGATGTGGAACAGTTTTTCTTTTTTTTTCAAGTGAGGCTTCTCCACAAGAAAGAGGTCCTCAGAAGAAATCATTCCAGTGCTTTTCTCAGATTACTGTAGTTAAATACAACAGTGCGTCACACCAGTGCGTCATATACAACGACCTTGTTGAAGGTTAGGTGATTGCGGGCCCAAACGTTTCAAACATGGCGGCTCGTTCATTGATTATGGACTTACTAGAAAGCCCTAATGGAACATTGTATGGAGTTCTCATTGCGTTTTTAATAGTCATTCTAACTACAGGTTTGTTCTTTGCTTTTTTCCTTGACATGGACAAATATTTATACTCGAGAAGTGTTTAATTCCGGAAATCTTCTTTCGCGTTTATGATGACGTGTTCGTAAGAGATCGGGGAAAAGAACGAGAGAAGAACATTGTTCGAAAAATGTAGCTGTCCACGATGAGTGAAAAGTAGTGCATGTGTTACAATGTCAACATGCCGATTGCTAGCGTCGAGTAAATTTGTAGGCGGGCCAAGTTTATTGATTGGGTCAGTAGCTCTTGAGCAAACAATTACCAGTGAGCTTAATTAAAAGGTTGTGGTTTGTGAGTGTGTAGCAACCAATTATTTGCCAACCATTTGAATATCAGAGGCGAATAATAATTGATTTGCAAGAAAATGAAAATCATGATAGTTTTGGTGATCAAGTTAATTTTGTATGGATTCATTCAACTGAGGTATTATTTATTTGATTATAATTTTTTTTTCTCATAAGACCTGGGGGAGCTACTATCCTATGTGCTACTGAGGGGATGATTTTCGTAAGGATTTTTACGAGGACTGAGATTTCACCCCAGGTTCAGAAGCATATCCTCTTGAAATGAACTTGACATAAATTATTGAAAACAAATTCCAGCCCATTCACCACGATGAAGTTCACAATGTGATCACCCTCCAAGATACAAAGTTTCAGATAATTGAAAATGTGAGTGTAAAGGAATGATCAGAATCTAGAAAAACAGTGGTTTTAATAATCAAGGTTTCACACAAGTCAAGCAGCATACACGGGGCTGTTAGTAAGGGCCATAACCTGTAAGACCTGCTACAGCTGAATATGTTTCATGGGCCCTTGATGTTACAAGTGAACTTGCCTGTAGTTGCAAGAATTCACTCACAAGGTAACATGTTTGTTACAGGTGTGAAAATCAATGCTTCAGGGGACTCAAAACTTCATGACAGTCCTGATACCCATCTATAAGGACACTCCAAACCTTCACAAGGCTACTTTTCCCAAATTAGTTTCTTTTTTTCAACCAAATTAAAGTTCATTATTTAAGGTAACATTTTCCAAAAAAAATGAAAATAAAACATTAAAACACGTGTGAGTTATTGGGAAAAAGAGATTTTGTACTAAAAGTTTATAAACTGTCAAGGTGTCATTCTCCCCAAAAGGCATGGAGTTTCAGCGTCCTTTTCGCAGCAAACAGCTTCATCTGGAGATTCTATATCAAATACTTTCAATTTTAGATTTCATGTCCATAAAGAGTGACTCCTCATAATCACGCTTCAGCAATTGCTCCTCTGTTTCTTTTTGTTTTGTTGCACATCGCTTTCCTTCTGTTTTGCGCATTATTGTTGACTACCGACCTAAAACATGTGCACCTAAAACGTGACTGTAACACTATCACTTTCCTGCAAAGCTCAAGTTTGCATATTGTTAATGCTGGGGGTTTTGTTATTTCATTGGCTGACAGCTTTTTGTGTTGACATCTCCCTCCAAGAAGACGTGACATGTTAAAAAATCTTTAGAAGGCGAAAACTGGCACTTGTTTTTTGAGAGAATCCCTCCTCTTTATGTGAGTTAATATGGTATGTAGAATCCACGGTTTTCCGTGAAATTTGGCCAGAACACGTACTGATAGATAAGGAACAAAGTGTGCCAGCAAATTCTTTTATTTTGAATACTTTTCTCGTGGCAGCCTCTAACGCAGCTTACACGAATTTTTCGATAGTGGAACTTGACAGATCTTTAAAAAGATAACCAATGGAAATAAAAGAAAATGCTGACACACTTTGAGAGATTGATGCTTTATGATTAACACTGCCCAGTTATTTTGCATGAACAATAATTTGCCGGAATTTCAGTCGGTCAATTTGCCGTTTACGGCTTCTACCACCTTAGGAAAGCAATCTGCAAAACAGAATATGTTATCAAATTCTACATTTCATAACCCTTCTATTGATGTATAGTTTGTGGGGGGTTTCCTTGAAAACAGCGAAGGTTTGGAGTAACCTTAAAGGTGCCTTGAAATGGCTCAGATGTATTTATTCATTTATCAATTATGTCATCTAAGCTACTTTTTTTATTTGGTTATTCCTTGCAGTCCTGTACCTTTTATTTGGAAGAAGTGGATCCAGAGGTCGTAGTATCCTCTTAGTCGGCCTGACAGACTCCGGAAAAACACTGCTATTCAGTAGAGTAAGTTAATATTCTAAAGTTTGTTATATTTTTTTCTTTTGTGAACAGACTAAAAACATATATACATAAGCTTATCCTTCTGAGGTGCTTTTTAAGATTAATCTTGTCTGTGTTTCACACAAAAATCCAAGAAGACTGATAACCAACCTTGTGCAATGTTAGTGGCTGTATTCAGATATTGACTGATTGTTTTGTGTGTCATATCGTGTTGTTCCAGAAAATATCCATTCCCCTCCCATGGAAGATTAAAAGTTCCCCCCCCCCCCCCCCTCCCTGGAAATTGGAAATTTCGTTTTAGCTTCATACTTTCCTTTAAAAATTTTGGCTTTTGAAACCCCTGCCCCCTTGGAATTTCCGTTAACCTACCTTGGGGTGGGTGTGGATATTTATTTGGAACGGCACATTCTACTTTTAACTTTTTCAGCTCTGTAGTGGAAAATATGTGATGACCCACACATCAATAAAAGAAAACAAAGATCAGTACAAATTAAAAGGCAAAAAGGTACACAATTTTGAATATTCACTTTTTGGTCATAAATAATGAATTTGCATTACCTTCTCATTATTGCTTCTCATAGTGTGTATACATGCATTCACCAGTGAAAGTTTTATTTTCTAAGGTAAAAACTGCAAGATCATGTGTTTCAGAATGTAAATTTTTCATTGACCAGAAGCAGCTTGTTGTCCTTACCAAGCTATTAACATTGAATAGTTCTCCCACTTTTGGAACTGAACTCTCTCCTGTCAGTGAGAGAGGGGCCTTGCTTTAGTTTTGAGATGAAAAGATTTGTACGTACAAAGGAATTATGTACACACATATTATAATTATCTTTTCCAGTGCCTGAGATCAGAAGGGACAGGTGGCTTGTTAGTGTCATCACTTACCAGTGTAAAGACTGGGTCCCATAAGATCGTTATGAGCACCATGATTTCCACCATTACAGCGATTGTCTTGATCCTTCTGCAAAAAGTTGGGCAATCCTTATCACTACCAGGTTCCATATAACTGCCATGATCGCTATAGAATAAAAAAATGCCAGGGATGGCAGACCTTATCAAACAGTGACACACTGCATCCTGATAATTATATTTTTCATCACAATGATTGCTACAATCCTTGAGACCGAATGATCACAATAATCACTGAACACTTTTGTTTCAGCAGTCATTAGTGATTACATCAATTGTAGCAATGGCATGTCTAAAAGCACTTGCTACACTCACTCAATGGGATGCTAGTCCGTCACAGATTACACTGTACCACCAATAAAACAAATTAATTATCTTCATTTACACTAGCCAACTATTGGCATATTCAATAAATTTTTTTAGCAATGAAAATTATTTCTTTACACTAATAGAGTGGCAAGATATTGGACTTGATAGATCTCCCTGGTCATGAAAGAGTAAGATCAAGGTTTATAGAGCAGTTCAAGAACCAGGCAAGGTAATCGGCACTTTGTTACTTCATCAGTATAATGATAAGTTGTGGTAACTGGACCGAGTGGAGTACAATTCAAGGAGTAATTGGGGTAAGTGATTTCACAATGAGATGAGTGTGCAGCATGAGAGTGATTTGAAATTGCGACAACGATTACTCTCTGAATTGTATGACACAGGGTTCAATTACTAATAATATCTGCAACAAATTTGAAATGAAGAAAGTCTATTGAGAATCTCCTTTGAGCGAAAAAGTCAGTAGCGTTTTCCATAAGTTTAGAAAAACTGTAGGAAACATCAATAAGAAGCCATTAAAGTGGGCATACATGTAATTGATGTGCAAATGGCATAGGTATCCAATTACAAAAAGTTGTAATTGGTTACCTTTAATTGGACACCCACATGATCACATGCTGATTATATGACAAATAGGCACACGGAGAACCAATCACAATCAAGAATTTGGTTATAGATACAATTAACAAAGTAAACTTACAATGTAACTAGTTGTGCCAGAAGATCCCTTGCTAGTACATACATTTGTCTTGTGGTTTATAATTTCCTTTCAGTATATTCGTTTTCAAAATCTACAACAAAGGAAGTCAAAATAAGAATTTGTCATTGTTTTTACAAATTTCTAACCAAAAAGCAAATTTAAATCAAAACATCTGCATGTAAGTGTCAGAGTTTTACTTTGCCTAATTCAGTTTGATAAAGCTTACTTGCAGTTTTGGTTTTTTTATGATTTTGAACAAAATTACTCACATAAATTTTTCTTCCAAAAATATTTGCAATTCATCTGAACTTTGTCTTTCAGGGGAATCCTGTTTGTTGTTGATAGTGTGAACTTTCCACGAGAAGTACGAGATGTGGCAGAGTGAGTAAAACATTTTTTATGTATGTAGCCAGTCAGAGTGGGACATTTCTATAAAACAGACAGGTTATTACTTCACAAAGTAACGTCTGTACATGTTTACATACCAGAGGAGTACTTCTCAGTGTGAGTCCCTTAGATGGTGGCATCACAAACTTGATTCAGAGGCTGGATTGAAGGTTATTGGGAGAACAATTTTTTTTTTCATCTTAATTCAATGGTCAGTGTAAAATGCACACTACAGACTGCTGACTGGGGATAAAATGCAGACTGAGGGTAAAATGCAGATTACAGAGTAATTACTTTTTTAAGTATATATATATTGTTATTTCCATTATCAAGTGCTAACTGTAAACAGGGATATTCAGGCTACTTGTAGTGAAAGTACGCACTCTAGTAAGCCTAGATTTTACTCTGTTTAGCAGTCCGCAGTCCGCAGTCTTTATTTTACATTGACCTATAATTCAACAACAATTAAATTATCACTATTGTTTCCCATATAGGAAACAATTTAATCAGCAGAAAAGTTGTGTTAGTACTGCTAATCAATCTGAATTATTATCCATTGTGAACTGACCACTGAACATAGATTGTGCTTGTTCTTTGCATAGGATTATGTATGACATTCTTGGTGACAAGTATTTGTTGAAGTCTGCCAACTCCATCCTGGTTCTGTGTAACAAACAAGGTCAGCTGGTTACAGTACCAGTGCTCAAAGTTACTCATTACGCGCGTATGAACATTTTGCTTTGTTTAGCTTTAGAGTGTAAGCTCTTTTAAAATTCTTTTGACACTCTTTTTTTCATTTTGTTTTCAGACCTCACAATGGCCAAGTCGCAGAGTGTAATAAAGTCTCAGCTGGAGAAGGAAATGTAAGGAACATTTTTTAGTATAGAAAATGATAGTAAAGTACGTTAAGTTCAAACTGGTCTTTCACTTGGGTTCTATTGAATTAGTTTTTAGAGGGACACAGTTTTGTTAGTAACTTAGTATACGCTATTTACCTAGCCAAAAAAATGTGAATTTGTTTTCTGCAGAAATAACACCAAATGTTGTTTTCAGTTTTTCAAATGTGCATGACTTACACAACACTGGAAGCGTAACTCCGGCATTTTCTCCAGTGAGNATGGCGGCCGGAATATAGTGTAAACATCTGGAACTTACTTTGGCTTTCCAGGCGACTGATTATCAGTACTAAACAAACAAGCATTTACATAAGCACTTTGCCTAATGCTCTAACTTCTAAAAAGGCTCAAAATCATGAGATAAGTATATATTTTTCAACAATCTCGATCGTAGCCTTGTGTCACGCAACCTCCATGACACTGAAAAAAATGCTCTGGTTTCCAAACGAAGCACGCTAATTGTAAACAGATATGAATATACCGCCTCTTATGCCTGTGAGGATAAAAACACGTCACGTGAAGACGATCTATCAAATTAGAAGTCTTAGCAAAACACATACTTGTAAACATCCTCGAAATCCCGGTGGCGATAGGATCAAACATCTATCAAACAGCCAACTTGTCAAAACGAAGCGCAAGCCTAATGGCCTTGCTTGATCATGAAGCTGAACTTCATAACTATAGCTTGGAATTTTGGCTTCTTAGAACACTCAAGTAGTCATTTTCGAAGAATTAAAGCCAAAATACGACCAATGAAAAATTACAAAATAAATTTGATCAAATTTCGAGTGCTACACACTAGGTGTTTTACAGAGTGATGAAACGTTGTAGGCTTGTGGGTCTACTCAGGGGACAGCGTCTTCCTTAATAGTTGCTTCATGGCTAGATCAGATTTTAGTTTAAAACTTTAGACCAGTGGCGTTAATGGCTGATAAAATGGGATTTAACTATAACACCGAAATATCAATGTTTAACAAAGGAGGATATGTAGCGTATGTTGCACTCATCATAATTTGACTGAGAATTGCAAAGAAATGCAAGGCAAGTCGTGTTTTGATGATTGAGTGGTGATATTCATAACATCGTAGTTAGCAACAAAATTTAGTCGAAAGTAA